GCCTTCTCGAGCGATCCAGGTTCATCGCTTCCGTCTACTTTGGAAATCATATTCTCGCAATGTCCTTTCTGATTAGTGTAGTCTCATGAGCATCTTATCGCCAACAAATGTGCAACAACGTGCTCACTAACCTAGTCCGTTGTTATTCACTTTTTTGAGGTTACGGTTGAGGTTTTAAGGTCTCTCGCTTACGTTTATATACTAGTTTTCAATATTCTGATTGATAAAACAACCTAAAATTCTGTTCCATAAAAAGTTACAGGATTTAAGGATTCATTTATTTTACATAAAATAATTGTCTAATAAAAATTCTTCCTGCCGTCTTCCTCAGGTGAGTTTTCCCATTGTGAAGCGTATGTTTTGAACTTTAACCTCAGCAAATTACTGAGTTGTTAAAAGCACTGTATAAACGAACGTAAAACATATTATATGTAAACAACTACATGCAAGTGTAGATACTAAAAGAATAGCTATCACGCCAGACCGCAAAGAATAAGTAAATATAGGAGTGGAAGTGAGGAGTGGTTTTCCATCTGAACCAGAATCCAGAGTGTCGAGAAGTAGATCGCCATGAGCTGAGTTGACCTCGAGGGCGCCGCCCAGGGAAGGAGGACCAGTTTTCGACCTGCCCCGGATTTGGTGAGGGCAGGCAACGCCCTCCTCCAAATTAGTTGAGGGCCAGGTTGACTCCACCCCCGGCTACGCCTGGACGGGGGCAGACAAAGGCAGCTTTCCCTCGGCAGGTCGGAACCGTACGGCCCAACGCGGGCTCACTCACACCGCCGATGCGGTTAATGTGACATTCTATGCCACCGACTTTGGAGAGGGTCATCTCTGGGGAAGGAGGCGCATGGGTCATTTTTAATAATCTGTGTATTTGTGTATATACATATTTCACAGCCATGATGTAATGGTGACCTCTGGCCGAAAAGCTGAAAATAGTTCTCGAGGATATGCATTTTTCAGTCACTGTACACACACACACACACACACACAACACACACACCACACACACACACACCCACACACACACCACACACACACACCACACGACACATCACACATATATACATATATGAATATATATATTTTATTTCTTATCCATATATGTACATATATATATTATATATATATATATATATATATATATACATACATACATACTATATATACATACATACATATATATATATACACATACACACAACACACACGAATAAACACAGATCCAAAAACATACACACATACTCATGTATGTGTATATACACACATAAGGTAGGTTGACACGCGCATTTTGAGCTGCGGCGTGGCACGACGTGTCACAGCGAGGGGCCGCGTCAATGTGTGCCTAGGCCGCAAAACACCTCTTGGCAAGCCGTGGCAGGTCACATACACCGTGCCAAGTGACACGACATCGCAAGAAATTTGAAACTTGTAAAATTTTTGTCGCGGTGTACACCGTACTTAAGTAGCCGCAAGGTCCCGTGACACGTCGGGTCACCCCGCGTCACACCGCAGTGTCGTGTTTTCCCTGCCAAGACCCTTGCAAACTACAACGCGGGTCTTGCAGAGTGCAATTTACGGACAGGGTAGCTGTTTTAAATGTGGTAGCAGGCGTATTTTGCAGCATGACTCACCCATCACGACTCTGAAGCCCTTACTCGTAAGTGTAAGCAAAGACAATTTACTTTAGTTGGTCATCATAATTATCTTATTTATTTATCATCATTATAATGAACTATTGTCATGCTTTCATATTGTCTGATTCTCTTTTCCTTCTTATTAGCATTATTTCTTTGTTTAAAATTATGTTCATCCTTCTTTAAATTCAAGTAAAATAAAACAAATAAAAAGTAATAGAACTAAACAAACCAAGGATAAAAACGAAACCAAAAAGTTCAAAGGAAAACCTGAGATATCCTCAGGTTGTATATTCTCAAAAATGTACAATTCCTATATCACATCCTATCTGGCCTCTTACAAATAATCAAAATATACTTATCTCTCTCTCGTAGGTCTCAAGACCACATACCACACACTGCTACTAGGACAAACAAACGACCCAAGAGTGATACTCGGCAAGACTAGCTTTTTAAACTCGTTTGTGTCTTGCCGCAAGTGACTTTTAAATAATATAATTAAAATAAAAGAGATTAATTAAAGTAAAACTTCTTTAACTCCTAAGAGATGAAATAACACCGAGGCCGTTAAAAGAAAATCTAAAAATGTGTAAACAAACAAAACGAAATAAAAATGTTCCAGGTGGCTGCCAAGAACTCCCACAGATGGTGCTGCGCCGTTCACCGGGCGACTAGCCTAGTCTGGACTCGCAACATAGTGGGGGTACATCACGTCCACTACAGCGGCATGTTTGACGCCGTGACAACATGGCATGCATTCTTGCGGTGTGGCGCGGAAGACCACGACCTCATGTACCGACATCTTGCGCAAAACTGACGGTGGGTTTCGAGCTGCCGCGGGGTACCTTGCGCACTGGCTAGAAGTGGCGCGATGCTGCTTTTTCATTGGTCGACGTGTAGTCTCACAGGGAAAGTGGCTACTCCTTGAGCCTGGAAATCCCCAGGAACATCGAAACCGATAAGGATAAGGATAAGTCCGATATGCGAAGCTGAGCCTCGCCCGGGCTATGGGGGAGCCCGGCCTGTGCCGACTAATGTCGACTCGATCAACGCGTCAGCGAGTACTGACGCGACAGAGCTTACTCCTTACCCACCGTGGTGCCCAGCCACAGCAGTAACCTCCGGGCGACAATTGCAACTTCTCGCACCTGGGCGGGGCGCGAACCGCCGACCCCTCGGATGAGAGGACGGCACGATCGAAACCAAGAGCAACCAAGAATAATATTTATTACTGTTATTTCATGTCATTCTTGAGAAGGCAATTTTATTTATCTTAAAATATATGTTCTTGCAAGTAAAATAATTTGATACAAGTTTTTTATATTTCTTATAATATCTCAACCTTTTATACTTTAAAAATGTTCCATCTCACTCAATATCAAATCTGAATAAAAGGGAAGGCAACGAGTAAAATAGACAGTATACTTTTTTTCAACATAGCAGATCATAATGATGTACAGAAAAATAAAATAGACATGTACAGCAAAATAAAATACAGATTACACATTATTATATACCTTGTGGTCGTCCTCTGGGATATACCATTCCTTCTTGCCACGGTACTGTTCCAGCTTCTGAACTGTAGCATAGAGCCATGTAGTTTCTTTGCGCCTTGGATTGCCTTCTGTAGTTATGTCTTCGTCGATTTAAGAGTCCTTGCATGCTAATCTGTTCCTCCTTCAAGCTCCAGGTACCAGATTGTGTTGGGCGTCTTCGTAGTCGACTTCATTACCAGCAAATGGATATTGTTTGAGTATGTGATTGTGCATGACACATCCACTCATGGTGAGTCTTGACTACTTTGGGATTTCGATGCATAATGGTCCTAACATTCATTCTTGCTTGGAGGAGGCTGAATGCATTTTCTACCACATGACGAGCACGTGATAATCTGTGCATGGTGCACCTGGGATTGGTGTGAGTACGGTTTCATCAGTATTGGCTTGAGGGCGAAGGCATCATCACCTATCAGATTGAAGGGGATATGAGTGTCATCATTAGTAATGGACTGGCCTCCGGAAATCCGGCTCGCTTCTCTTCAATGGCTTGAAAGGTCACACTTAGACCACGTTCCTCCATCGCCAGCACCTCCTTCAGCATCTACGTCGACGTACAGGAACTTGTAGTTTGCATCTGCGATGGCCATGAGTACAATACTGTGGAACTTTTTGTAGTTATAATACACTGATCCTCCATTTGGTGGTTTCTTTATTGGGACATGATTCCCATCAAGTGCACCTCCACAGTTATGGTAGTTCCATCTCTTGGAAAATCCTTCTTCTTCCATACCTCGGGAGTTTTGGTGCACTTCATAATTCAGGTTTGTAGGTGTCGATGATGGCTTGGCACAGTTGAGGCACAAATTTGCAAATGGCACTCTTGAGACTCTGAAACTATATTGCAGACACATAGGAGTTGCTAGTTGCCAGAAAGTGTAGGATGACTGCCGGTTTCAAGCCCACTGATTGAGGAAATCACATTTTCATGTCTTTCTTGTCTAACTTTGGAGATATCCTTTCAATAATCTCGGAAAACAATTCGGGTTGGATCTGGACGAAGTATTTGAAGCTCCTTTGTCTTCTTTATTTAGTTCTTCTAGGAGCTGGTGATAATCGTCTTGTATAGATCTTTTCATCAGCCATTCACAGCACCAAATCCTCTTGCTTATCTGTATTGATGGTGTGTTTCAGCCTAGGCACAGGTCGCTGTACACATTTGGGTCTTCTCCAATAGACATCAAGTAGACAGGCTGCAGCTTAATAAGGAGACTTGTTATCATCCTGTCGGCCTCCTGTCTTGGGTAGTATGTAGCTCCATCCTTGATGATGCTCGGTGATATACTGTATCCACAGCATCAAGCTCTTATACCCCCAACCCCTAAAATCCAAGGGAATTTTATTGTATCACCACCCCTTGTGAGACACCGTGACACCTCGCAACACTACGCGAGCACCTCGCCACACTGCGTAAAACCTCTTCCACCTCTCGTGCCATCCCGTGACACGTCGGCAACAGACACTGCGTCCACTGCGCAAGGCACCTTGACACCAACTCGTGCCGCTCCGCATCATCTCGCAAGCAAGCCGTAACATTTCTTACGGTGTGTGAAGACGTCATGACATTCCGTACCATTTTGGCTGCATTTTTGTATACGCATTGCCGCGGCCTCACGCCGAAATACGCCGCAAGTGTCAACCTTCCTACACACACACACACACACACACACACACACACACACACACACACACACACACACACACACAAATAAAACCACACACACACACAACCACACACACAAAAAACATATATCTATCTATCTCTATATATGTATGTATGTGTATGTATGTATGTATGTATGTA